TGTCATTGGGATTCTGATTGGGATGGCGTTGAATCTGTAGATTGCTTTAGGTAGAATGGACATTTTAACTATGTTTATTCTTCCAATCCATGTACATGGAATGTCTTTCCATCTCCTTAGGTCGTCATCCAATTCTCTCAGAAAGGCCTTGTAATTTTCATTATATAGGTCCTTCACTTCCTTAGTTAAATTTACCCCAAGGTATTTTATTCTTTTTGTTGCAATTGTGAATGGTATTGTATTCTTGAGTTCTTTTTCTGTTGCTTCATTACTGGAGTATAGAAATGCTACTGATTTATGCAAATTGATTTTATACCCTGCAACTTTGCTGTAGTTGTTGATTACTTCTAACAGTTTTCCAATGGATTCTTTGGGGTTTTCTATATATAAGATCATGTCATCTGCAAACAGCGACAGTTTCACTTCTTCCCTCCCTATTTGGATTCCTTTTATTCCTTTTTCTTGCCTGATTGCTCTGGCCAGGACCTCCAGTACTATGTTAACTAAGAGTGGTGATAGAGGGCATCCTTGTCTTGTTCCTGTTTTCAGGGGGATGGGGTTCAGTTTTTGCCCATTGAGTATGATGTTGGCTATGGGTTTGTCGTATATGGCCTTTATTATGTTGAGGTAGTTTCCTTCTATGCCCATTTTGTTCAGAGTTTTTATCATAAATGGCTGTTGGATCTTGTCAAATGCCTTCTCTGCATCTATGGAGATGATCATGTGGTTTTTATTCCTCAGTTTGTTCATGTGGTGGATCACGTTGATTGATTTGCGGATGTTGAACCATCCCTGTGTCCCTGGTATGAATCCCACCTGATCCTGATGTATGATTCTTTTGATGAATTGCTGAATTCTGGTTGCCAAAATTTTGTTGAGAATTTTTGCATCTATGTTCATCAGTGATGTTGTCCTGTAGTTCTCTTTTTTCGTGGTGTCCTTGTCAGGTTTTGGTATCAGCGTGATGTTGGCCTCATAGAATGTGTTAGGAAGTGTTCCATCTTCCTTAATTTTTTGGAATAGCTTGAAAAGGATAGGTATTAAATCCTCTCTGAAAGTTTGGTAGAATTCCCCAGGAAAGCCATCTGGTCCTGGAGTTTTATTCTTTGGGATGTTTTTGATTGCTGTTTCAATCTCTTTCCTTGTGATTGGTCTGTTCAAATTGTCTGCCTCTTCTTGAGTGAGCTTTGGGAGATTGTAGGAGTCCAGGAATTTATCCATTTCCTCTAGGTTATCCATTCTGTTGGCATATAGTTTTTTGTAGTATTCTCTTATAATCTGTTGTATTTCTGCAGAGTCTGTTGTTATTTCTCCTCGCTCATTTCTGATTTTGTTTATTTGAGCTTTCTCCCTTTTTTTCTTTGTAAGTCTGGCTAGTGGTTTGTCAATTTTATTTATCTTCTCAAAAAACCAGCTCTTTGTCTCATTGATCCTTTCTACTGCCTTTTTCGTTTCAATAGTATTTATTTCTGCTCTGATTTTTATTATTTCTCTCCTTCTGCTGACTTTGGGCTTCATTTGTTCTTTTTTCTCTAGTTCAGTTAGGTGTGCTTTAAGGTTGCTTATTTGGGATTTTTCTTGTTTGTTAAGATGTGCCTGTATTGCGATGAATTTTCCTCTTAATACAGCTTTTGCTGTATCCCATATGAGTTGGTATGGCATGTTATCATTTTCATTTGTTTCCAGGTATTTTTTTATTTCTTTAATTTCTTCAGTGATCCATTGCTTGTTCAGTAGTGTGTTGTTTAGTCTCCACATCGTTGTGCCTTTCTCAGCTTTTTTCTTGTAATTAATTTCTAGCCTTATAGCACTATGATCTGAGAAGATGCTTGTTATTATTTCAATTTTTTTAAATTTGTAGAGGCTTGTCTTGTTTCCCAACATATGGTCTATCCTAGAGAATGTTCCATGTACACTTGAGAAGAATGTGTATTCAGCTCCTTCAGGGTGGAGTGATCTATATATGTCTATTAAGTCCAATTGTTTTAGTTTTTCATTCAGCTCCACTATTTCCTTGTTGATTTTCTGTCTGGATGATCTGTCCATTGATGTGAGTGGGGTGTTGAGGTCCCCTACTATTATTGTGTTGTTTTTAACATCTTCCTTTAGGTCTGTTAATAGTTGCTTTATGAATCTTGGTGCTCCTGTGTTGGGTGCATAGATATTTATAAGCGTTATTTCTTCTTGATGAAGTGTCCCTTTGATCATTATATATTGTCCCTCTGTGTCTCTCTTTACCTGTCTTATTTTGAAATCCACTTGGTCTGATATGAGAATTGCAACACCTGCCTTTTTTTCCTTGCTATTTGCTTGAAATATTGTCCTCCACCCCTTCACCCTGAGTCTGTGTTTGTCCTTGGGGCTGAGGTGTGTTTCCTGGAGGCAACAAATTGTTGGATCTTGTTCTTTAATCCATTTTGCCACTTTGTGTCTTTTTATTGGAGAGTTCAATCCATTCACATTGAGAGTGATTATTGATGCATGTGGACTTAATGCTGTCAATCTGTCGCTCATTATCTTGTTTTCCTGTGTTTCTTTTCCTGTGTGCTTTAGACTACCCATTTAATACTGCAATTTCTTATGCTGGGTTTCTTAGATTTTTCCTTATCTATGATTTGTGACTCTGTTCTGTACTTTATTTTAGTGTCTACCTTGAAGTTTGTATTTAGAATCTCGTGTATAATATAGTCTATTCTCTGGTGGTCTCTTACTTACTCGACCAATACTGATTTAGACCCTTTGCTCTTCCCCTCCTAAATAATTATTTTCATTTTTTATTCCAACTCGTCTTATTAATTTGTAGTTAGAGTGCTAAGATCGTCCTTGTTTTGGTAGTTTCCTTATTTTTACCCTAATGTTATAGTTGAATATTTGCTATCCTGTTCTGGTTCTATCCATCGGTCTCCCTAGTCTGTGGATTGTGTCCCCTTTCTCCCTTTTTTCTTTTTTCAAGTATGAGAGCCTTCTTGAGGATTTCTTGTAGTGGATGGCTTTTAGTTACAAATTCCCTTAACTTTTGTTTGTCTGGAAAAGATTTAATTTCTCCCTCATATCTGAAGGAAATTCTTGCTGGATAGAGTATTCTTGGCTGAAGGTTTTTATCCTTTAAAGCTTTGAATATATCACTCCATTCTCTCCTAGCTTGTAGGGTTTCTGTAGAGAAATCCGCTGACAGTCTGATAGGGGCTCCTTTATAGGTTATTCTCTTTTTTTTTCTTACTGCCCTGAGTATTCTTTCCTTATCATTCCTATGTGCCAACTTTACTATTATGTGCCTTGCTGTGGGTCTTTTTACATTGACAAATCTAGGAGATCTAAAACCCTCCTCTACACACATTTCTCCGTTGATCCCTAGATTTGGGAAGTTCTCTTCAATAATTTCGTTAAGCACACTTTCTGCTCCATTTTCCTTTGCCATATTCTCGGGAATTCCTATGATCCTCATGTTCTTACTCCTCATTGAATCCATTATCTCTTGGAGATTTTCCTCAGTTTTTTTAATTCTTAGTTCTCTTTCTTCCTCTGTCTGGCGCCATTCAGCCTGTCTGTCCTCGATTATGCTGATTTGCTTCTCTGGGTTGTCTACACGGGCATTCAGGGAATCTGTATTCTGTTTTATCTGGTCCATTGTGTTTTTCATCTCAAGTAATTCTCTTTGATTCTTCTTTACGATTTCAATCTCTTTTGTGAAGTAACTCCAGAACTCGGCTTGTTTCTCTATCTTTCTCTCTACCTCATTGAGTTTTTTGATTATAGCTGCTCTGAATTCATTATCACTTAGTTTACCTAATTCCAAGTCCTCGGGACTTAATTCTGTGTTTTTATTGTTTTCCTTCTGGTCTGGGGCTTTTATAAATTGCTGGATGGTCGAGGAGCGGTTTTTTCTCATGGTGGTAGACTTCAGTTGCAGTTACAGCCTTTCGCTCCCAAGGCCCTTGATTTATAGGGTCCCCGCAGACAGAAGCTTTTCCCCCCGTCAGCGGGTCTCCACTGAATCAGCGGCAGGAGTCCTGGATGATCCCCCGGTCGTGCGAACCCTCCCCCGCTGCTTCCCGACCCACGCCGCAGCGATCGCAGACTCTAGGGGAGGGAGCGATGTTCTCTCCTACCATTCCAGCGCCTCCGAGGGTGTAAGCAAGGTTTATGATCTCCGCCTCCTTGGTACTGTAGGTCTCTAATGAGCTGGCATTATGTTTATTCTCTGAAATTCAGTTCTTCCAATCTTTTGTTGTATTTTGGAGGGGAGAGAATCCCGGGTCAGCTCACCCCGCCATTTTGCTCCATCCACTAGTCATGAATGTCTTTTTCATTGTATGGTGGAGAGGAGAGAATGCTGGGCGAATTCCCTCTGCCACGATGCTGACGTCACTCTTAACGTATATTATTTTTATTCATCTACACCAAAATTTGTATGAAGGCAAGAGAAGTAAAATAGAGAGGCAAAAGAAGATAAATTCTTTAGTTAATAAGAATGTAGAAAACATAAAGAGGTCATGAAGTAGCAGTCACTTAGATCATATGAGACAGAGAAGAGAAAGATCTAAAAATACTTCTGTCAGAAAACATAAGAAACAGGTGTTTATCAACCCATTATGGGAGAATTTTTTTCCAACGTTAAATTTATCTGAGATCTTCATTTGATCATACTGAAAAAATTGGTAGGTATTGAGTTCCTGGATTTAAAAGCATAACTCGTATTTTAGTTCAAAAGTGTTTCTTCCTTGGTAGATGCTTATAAAATTACTGGAAATTTTATTCCTATTGGAAAGGCAAAAGACCTAAAAGTAACATCCGCCTGACAGAAACTGATGGCAGCAGAGCACGGTGATAAAAACATGTACCCCCCACATGCAGTTACTGTTTGAACAGTTTTAACTTGACCAGGATTGCTAAAGTTGATGTCAGGTCTGTTTTCAGCTTTGTTGTTTAGTATTCTTAATGATATTATGCTCTTCAGTTTTATTTGATGATTGAGTTTTTATTATTTATTTTCTCCACAGAAGTGAACGATACCATATCTCTGAAAGATTTGCGAATACTTTTTTTATATGAATTTAAATTAGGACATAGTGCAGCCATGGCAAGTAGAAACATCAATTCTGTCTTTGGAGAAGGCTCTGTTAGTGAAAGGACTGTCCGGTGGTGGTTTGAAAAATTTCGTTCTGGTGATCTGAGTCTGAAAAATGAGCCTCGAGGGAGACCCAAATGTGTTTTAAATCAAGATCAGTTGAGAGCTATGGTGGAAGCTAACCCCAAAACAGCAATTCGAGGCCTTGCAGCTGACTTAGGAGTTTCTGCTACAACGATTTCTCGACACCTGGCTGCAATAGGAAAGGTGAAAAAATGGGACAGGTGGGTAGGTACCACACCAGTTGAGGGATGATCATCAACTGAGATGGTTAGAGATATGCTCATCCCTTAAGATTTGCCAGAGCAGAGATCAATTTTGGAGAGAATCATAAGCTTTGACAAAAAATGAAATTGAAAGTGATCTGGACAATGGTTGGATGTTGATGAAATTACCAAACATATTAAAACCATCATTGCAACAAAAAAAGGTTCTGGTAGCTGTATGATGGTCTGCAAAAAGGATATTTCATTACAGCTTTTTAACCCCGATAAAACAAACAGTAGCATCTTATTGTCAAGAAGATGAAATTATGTATCAAAAACTGATCTAAAAGCTTTCTGCATTGGTTAGCTGACATGGACCTATGCTTTTTTATGACAACATTTAATCACAGAAATAACAAACCACCATAGGGAAGTTAACTGAATTGGGCTAAGAAATTTTGCTACATCCATCATACTCACCTGACCTTTTTTCAGCAGATTACCACCTTTTCATCATTTGGAACTCTTTCTGAGAAACAGAATGTTCTCCCATTAAGAAGGAGTAATTGGAGGATTTGAATAAGTTTTTTTCTTTTTTCTTTTTTTGGTGAGGAAGATTCGCCCTGACCTAACATTGGTTGCCAATCCTGTTTTTGCTGGAGGAAGCTTGTCCATGAGCTAACATCTGTGCCAGACTTACTCTGTTTTGTATGTGGGATGCCACCACAGCATGGCTCAATGAGCAGTGTGCAGGTCCACACTCAGGATCTGAACCTGCGAACCCCAGGCCACCGAAGCGGAGTGCATAAACTTAACTGCTATCCCACTGGGCTGGCCCCTTGAGTAAATTTTAACAACGCTGAATTTCACAAATATGGTATATGTCATTTAATATTTGGGGAAATTTATCATTTTGGGAAAGCATTTAATGCTCACAGTGCATATTTTGGTTGAATAAAGCTTTTCTTTTTCTCAAAAATAGAACATTTTCATTTTGACCTACAAAAAGCCAGTTTCATATGGTTCAACCTGATACTTTCCCAGACCCTATCAGAGCATGAAGACTGAAAAGGTACCTGAGGCACCTAAGGAAAACTGCAAGCTGCTCCTGCGTTTCGGGGTTTTTCATTGGGGGAATGTGGAGCAACCCAAAGTGTATGTGTGTGTGAGAGATGCTTAGGAGTCAGTCATGTGAAGATCTGGGTCAAGAGCATTCCAAGCAGATGAGCAGCCTCATCAAAGGTCTCAGACTCTCAGAAAATATGTTTTTCATTTTTTTTTCTGAGGAAGATTTGCCTCACGCTAATGTCTGTAGCCAGTCTTCCTCCTTTTGCTCGAGGAAGGTTCACCCTGAGCTAATATCTGTGCCCATCTTCCTCTTTATTGTATGTGGGTCGCCGCCACAGCTTGGTAACCAATGAGTGGCGTAGGTCTGTGCCCGGGAACCAAACACGGGTCGCTGAAGTGGAGTGCACTGAACTTAACTACTAGGCCATAGAGCTGGCCCCAGAAAGTATTTTTTGAATAAAGAAATGAAAGCACGTAACATCAAAAGCTAAGCATACAGTAGACGTGGGTCAGTGGTGCTTTTGGATGACAATACTTACCCCATCACATAGAGCCAGTCCCTTCTTTCGTATGTTTTCCAAACTGCTTCTATGTTTTTAAAAAGTACAGGTGACTGATCAGAAACCATAATTAATGGCCTTTTTATGATTTCGTAGCTAGATTGCAGTTACTCTTTGTGGCATCCAGGAATTCAGTTGGGGTAAAAATATTGGGATGGTCCTCTTCCTGCGTCTCTCCTTCTTGACAACCTGCTATGTCTGTTCCATGAAGGAGAGGAGAGTAAAGGAATCCTAAGAGGTAAGAAGTGAAAGAAGAACATCCTGGAATGGATCTTACCTAGAGAGAGAGAGAGTAAAAGAGAGAGAGAAAGAAGAGAGAGACAGAAGGGAGGGAGGGAGAGATGGAATGAAAATCTCCTAAAGTAGCATTGACCATGAGCCCAAGGAGTAAAACTGTGGGATGCTTTACTGCAAATTAAAAAAAAAATTCCTTCTTTTGGGTATAAGCAGCCCAGCACTATGACACAAGGCTTGGTGAGCAGTTTATAGGATGCTTTCAGTCCTAATTTACTCCCTTGATTGTATGTCCTGGTCTGGAGTCTCCTCCTCATTTTACTGTTCCATTCTTGGGTTTGTCAAGGAATCTACTCAATGTTTCTGTGGACTCTTGCTTACTCCTAAGAGAGTGAAGCTTCTGATTTAGCTCAGACTGATAGGGTAACAGGGCTAAGACCAGGAGTGTAGGAAGGATTTTATTTCAAAGGCAGCACAAGGGTGAGGCTAAATGGTCACAGAAGGCGAGAGCAGTGGCTTGGCCAATATGCAAGAAAGTGATGTTGTATAGTTACTTTGTCTGGACGGTAGTTGTTTTATGGCCATCCAGCCATCCCTCAATTCTCAGACCTCTTGTCAGACTTCAAGAGCTGGATACTAGACTTTGGTCTAAAACAATCAGTGGATATCCTTGTCCAGCCAAGTAAGTGGTTTGGGGAAACCCAAACAGAAGCAGTGAAATGTGATGAGACAGGGAAAGGAGCAGATAGAGGATGTGGAATTATCCTAGCGATTTCCCTTATCACCTCCAAAAAGGAGTGTAGACCTGAGAGACAGAAATGGGCCCTATGGTTCTTGTGAGCACCTGGATCCAGCTGTGCTTGTAACTGGTACTACTGTTAGTGTCTTTTGGTTATGTGAGCCGGTGTTTATGTGAGCCCTTTTTGCTTAAGCCATTTTGAATTGAGTTTTTAATTTTGGCAGAAGAAAGATTCCTGACCGATAGGCTCCCTGACCCTTACTTTACTTAACAGTAAAATGGGGCTCATGATACCACTTTGCAGGGTTTGGGGAGGAAGAGGGACAATTAATGTAAAACACAGGCACAGAGTAGATGCCCAGTACATTAGTATTTAATCCTGTGAGAGGGAAAAGCAAAGGAGGCACAGAAAGGCGTGGGACACCTCTGTGCCCAGCGCAGGCCAGTTGCGCTGAGTTCACTGCTCAGCGAAGGCTGGTACCTGGCTTGGACTGTCCAGAGGTACCCAGCTGTAAAGGAAGGCTGGCCTCTCGAGTTGCTTTGAGCCTGTGGCTTTCTGCAGTGAGTGCTCTCTGACCGAGTGCGTTATTGGCCACGCAGGAGGAAAAGGACAAAGATGAGGCTTCTCACCCTCTGTGTCTTTACTTTGGCAGTTATTTGTATCTCTTTCTCTTTTGTTTAATCAGAGACTACTCCTTTTTGGAAATATGGAATGTAAATGTTATGAACAGAATCAACACACAATGACTACATTTTCATCATTGTGATGGTCATCTTCCCATTGCCTTGGAAATTAGGAACAACAGCTTTAAATTTATAACTCTTTAATTTAGGAGCTATATTGGATTTTCAAGAAAAATGAGACGTTTTATACACACAAAGACCTGCCAACCATCTCAGTGCCCTCATTTGCCTTCCCTAGAAAAGAAGGAAAAGCTTTAAAAGGCTCCTTGGTAGAAACTTTGGTTTGAGTGTCAAAATAGAGTGGAGGGGCCGGCCCCATGGCCGAGTGGTTAAGTTTGCATGCTCTGCTTTGGCAGCCCAGGGTTTTCGCCAGTTCGGATCCTGGCATGGACATGGCACCTCTCATCAAGCCATGCTGAGGCGGTGTCCCACATGCCAACTAGAAGGATCCACAACTAAAATATACAACTATGTTACTGGGGGCTTTGGGAGAAAAATGAAAAATAAAATCTTTAAAAGAAATTAAAAAAAACAGAGTGGAGATAGAGGCCCCCCACCACATCTCCCTGAAGTAGCTTGGGCCCTAATTATAAAAAAGGAGTAAAAAATGGCTTTGAATAGCCATTTTGGTTTATTAAGTACATAACACCTGTTGTTAAAGAAGCGCTGCCTGTGCTAATTACTTATTGTGCGACTAGAGCACCTGCAGCCACTGTAACAGTACGCGTGAAGGATCCTGAGCAAAGGTAGAAATAGCATCGAAAGCCAGTGGAAAGTGGATTCTTCTAGTACCAGTCCTCAGTGTGTTGGATTCTCTCTTGCTCTTTCTATTTGTGTTTCAGCCACAATAGCCTCTGTTCACTTCCTTTAACCTCAGCTAATTTGCCCATGCTGTTCTTTCTGTCTGAATATTTGCTACTCCTCTTCACCTCATTAACTCTACCCATCATGCATATTTCCTCCAGGAAGTCTTGCCTGATTGTCCCAGCCCACCACGGGTCAGGCCACCTTGCTAATGGTCTTAGAGCCCCAGTATGGTTCCTTCATAATTGTGATCACAGTGGTTATATATTTATTTGTGTGATAGAATGTGTTTCTCAGTCTTCTCTGTTAGATTATAAGATTCACAGCAGAGACTTTGTTTTGCTCATAAGATCGTACCCCTATCAAAAGCACAAGGTCCAGCACGAAGTAGGAATGAGTAAATGTTCATTAAATGAATGAGTAAGTGTTAGGGCCAGTTTCATCCACTTTGTGGAAAACCTTTGTTTTGGTATCCGTGTAAGTAAGGAATGTGTTTGACAACAAATAATTGAAAACTTAGTGAACAGTGGCTTAAATAAATAGGTTCTGTTTCCTAAAACTTAGGAAAATTTTCAAACATAAAAAATCCTTGAATTTTACAGGGAACACCTGTATGCCAACCACCTAGACTGTACCATTGACATATTACTATACTTGTTTTATCACTTCTCTACCCATGTAGCCATCTTTTTTTTTTTTTTTGATGCATTTCAATGTAAGTTGCAGCCATTAGCACATTTCACCCTAGATAGCTGAGCATACATATTTTTACCTAGAGTTTGCTGTTTGCTTAAGGTTCTTGTTGAGATAAAATTTAAATTCAATAAAATGCCCAAATCTTGAGTATACTCTTCAGTATATTTTGGCAAATGCAAACACTTGTGTAACACAAACTCCTCTTAAGATACAGACTATCCAGGCGGGCCCCATGGCTGAGTGGTTAAGTTCGCATGCTCCGCTGCAGGCGGCCCAGTGTTTTGTTGGTTCGAATCCTGGGCGCGGACAGGGCACTGCTCATCAAACCATGCTGAGGCAGCGTCCCACATGCCACAACTAGAAAGACTCACAACGAAGAATATACAACTGTGTACTGGGGGGCTTTGGGGAGAAAAAGGAAAAAATAAAATCTTTAAAAAAAAAAAAGATACAGACTATTACCATCAGCCCAGAAAGTTCCCTCATACCCATTTTCATTTTATCCCTCATACCCATGCATTTAAATGGAATTGTACAGTATGTGCTCTTTTATGTAAGACTTCTTTTACTAAGCATAATGTTTTTCAAATTCATCCACTTTGTTGCATTTATCAATAATTTCTTCCTTTTAAAAGCTGATTAGTACTCCCTTAAATGAATATACCACAATGTGTTGTTTGTCTAATTACCTGTTTGAGAGACATCTGTAGGGGTTTTTTTTGCCCCCCAGTTTGGGCCTATTATGAATAAAGCTGTTATGAATATTCTTGCACATGTCATTTTGTGGACATGTTTTTATTTCTCTTGGATACATACCTAAGATAGGAAATACTGGGCCATAGATTATTTTATACTTAGTTTTCCTAGACCTTTTTCTAAAGTTATTACACCATTTTATCCCCCTCTCACTAAGATTTGATGTTATTAGTCTTTTTAGTTTTATCTATTCTGGTGGGCTTTGAGCTGTATCTTACTTGGAGCAATTTTTTTTCCTTTCACATTATAAGGAATCTAAGGAGGCAGGCCAAAGCTGAGGCAGCTACTCAATAATGGTGTCAGGGACCCAGTCACTTTCTCACTTTCTGTTCATTATTCTTAGTGGCTGATCATAATTCTGTGCATGTCACCTGGGGAAGACAGCCTCTAAAATGGCTCCCAGTGATCCTCGCATCTGGCTTCTCTTGCCCTTGTGTAATCCCCTCTCATTGAGTGTGGGCTGGCCTTCGTGATGTGCTTCAAACAGAATGCAGCAGAGCTGATGGGATGCCATTGCTGCAATTAAGTTATAAAACAACATGGCTGCTTATATATGGTGATGGATACAAATTAGACTGTTGGTAGTGAGCATGATGCAGTCCATACAGAATACTGACAAATAATAATGTACACCTGAAATCTCACAGTTATAAACCATTATGACCTCAATAAAATCAAAAAAATGCCCAAACTTTCCAAACACACAGAAAATAGAACAATATCAGACATCCATTACCTAGATTTAACAATGTATATTTGAACCAAGTAACACAGTAGTTCTTCCAAAAGAAAAAAAGAATGGCTTCTGTCGTGCATGTTCTCTCTCATTCTTTTTCGGATCAGTCATTATCTAGGGGAAGTTGGTTGCCATGTTGCAAGGCAGCTCTGTGAGAGCCCAAGTGATGAGGGACTGGGGCCTGCCAACAATCAAATGAGTGAACTTAGAAGTGGATCTCTCCCTCGTGGAGTATGCAGATGAAATTGCAGAACCACACCGGGATTTCTGACCCACAGAAGCAGGGATAATAAGTGTTGTTTTAAGCCACTAAGTCTTAGGGTCATTTGTTATGTAACAATAGATAACTATTACAGCACCTCTTTGTCTCATTGTCATAAGATGGCTGCTGTACCTTCAGGGCCTCCTGTTCATGCTCCAGAGAGTAAGAAAAACTGTGGAAAGCAAAGGACAATGAGAGTTTTTTTAAACAAATCTGTTCATTTTTATCAGGAACTCAGAACTTTTCCAAAAATCTCACTCAACAGACTTTGGTTTATATCTTATTGGCCAGAGATAACGCCACATAACCATTCCTAGTTAGGAGGTGGCTAGAAAGGGGGGCGGGGCCTGGATGGAGATTGCATCAGCCAACTGTCAGCGTCTGCCACGTTAACCATCTCAAAAACCCCACAGAGGAGTGAGGTCAGCATCAGGGCGGGGTGGGCTTTCCCAGTAATCTCTCCCCTCCACCATACAATGAAAAAGACATTCATATTCCAACAGAGAACATCCACACAACACAAAAGGTGTCTGAGAGTCCCACAACACAAAAAACTACATAACTCAGCCATATGGCAGAGGGCAGAGAGGTGGAGCCCCCCTCAGAGGAGGTGGAACGGGTAAGAGAAAAGGTTGCTCCCTCCCCAAAAGACAGATCTGGGACTGTGGGAGGCTTCCAAGAGAGAAGGAAGGGGGGAGGGAAGGCTTGTTCATGGGCACATGGGAGATGCTCTAGGGCCCTTGTAGCCCAGGGGAGAGTCCCTACCGAGGTGGGGGTGAACTCCTCAAGCCAACAGCCCAGGAGAGCACATAGCGAGGGCAGAGTGAGAAAACCCTGAGGGCATGCAGGAGAAAGCGCCCTTCCCCACCCCTGGCCCAGCACCAAGTCCGGTGCCTGGGATCTCAGCACAACACAGAGGGCCTCAGAATAGGCAGCTCTTGACCCCCACCCAGTGGTAATAGGTGATAACTGCAACCAAATAGTACCAGGAAGCGCAAAAACAGAGCCACGCGCTCTAGCAGTATCAAAAATTATATTAAATCTCCAGAACAGAGAGAATATGACAAGTACCCAGAAATCAGTCCTGAAGACACAGAAATATGTAATTTAAGTGACAGAGAATTCAAAATAGCTATCAAAAAAATCAACACGTTAAAAGAGAATGTAGAGAAACAATTCAACACGTTTAGGAGCTACTTCACAAAAGAGAATGAAACTATAAAGAATCAATCAGGAATATTGGAGACAAAAGACACAATGGAAGAGAAAACAAAATATGGATTCCCTGAACATGTGAGTGGACACCATAGAGGAACAAATCACCATAACTGAGGACAGACATGTTGAAATGCTCCAGACAGAGGAGGAGAGAGGACTAAGACTAGAAAGAAAGGAAGAAAGTCTCTGAGAAATAGCTGACTCCATTAGGAAAAGCAACATAAGAGTTATAGGTATTCAAGAGGGAGAAGAGAAGGAGAGTGGAGCAGAAAGCATGTTTAAAGAAATAATTCCAGAGACCTTCCCAAACCTAAGGAAGGAGATGGAAATCCATGTGGAAGGGCCTATCAGATCTCCTAAATGTGTCAATGTAAAAAGACCTACTGCAAGGCAGTACTAGTGAAACTGGCAAAAGTCAATGACAAAGAAAAAATACTAATGGCAGCAAGGCAGAAGAAAATAACCTACAAAGGAACCCCTATCAGGCTTTCAGCAGATTTCTCTGCAAGAGCCTTACAGGCTAGGAGAGACTGGAATGACATATTCAAATCTCTGAAGGACAAAAACTTTCAGCCAAGAATACTCTATCTAGCAAAAATATCCTTCAGCTACAATGGAGAAATAAAAACTTTACCAGATAAACAAAAGCTAAGGGAGTTTGTAGCCATGAGACCACCCCCCAACACACACACATACAAGAAATCCTCAAGAAGGCCCTCATACCTGAAAAAAGACAGAAGGGAGAAAGGGGTTACAAAGCATGGAGTAAGGAGATAGGTAGACAAAAATCAGAAAATTGTACCTATACATGAGAAGAGGTTAGCAAATAAAAATAGCATTAAAGATAAAGGGAAGGAGGGGCTGGCCCCATGGCCAAGTGGGTAATTTCGCACTCTCTGCTTCGGCAGCCCAGGGTTCCCCCGGATAAGATCCCAGGTGTGGACATGGCACTGCTCATCAGGCCATGCTGAGGCAGTCTCCCACATGCCACAACTAGAAGGACCCACAACTAAAAATACACAACTATGTACTGGGGGGCTTTGGGGAGAAGAAGGAAAAAAATTAAAGGGAAAAAAAGATAAAGGGAAGGAAAACACCCAAAACAAAGATAATCTTGTCATTTTAACCACAAACTCACAACACAAGATGGAATAAGATGTGAGAAAAACAACTTAGGAGGGGAAGGGGACAGGGACTGAATCGGTTTAGTCTAAGGAAAGAAGAGGCCACCAGAACGTGGACTACCTTATCTACAAGACTTTGAATACAAACCTCATGGTAACCAGTAAACAAAAAAGAACAGAGACATGAATAATATATAAGGACAAAAGAAAGAAACACAACATAACAAACTACATATCTCAATTGATAGACCAAAACACACAGGACAAGAAAGAAAGGAAGTGCAGGAGAACCGGAAAACGAGAGAGAAAATGGCAGCATTAAGCCCTCATGCATTGATAATCACCCTCAACGTAAATGGATTGAATTCTCCAATAAAAAGACACAGAGTGGCAAGATGGATTAAAGAACAAGACCCAACAATATGCTGCCTCCAGGAAATACAGGTCAGCTCCAACAACAAACAAAGGCTTAGAGTGAAAGGATGGAAGACAATACTCCAAGCTTATGGCAAACAAAAGAAAGCAGGTGTTGCGATACTTAGACAAAGTAGACTTCAAGATAAGACAGGTAAAGAGAGACAAAGAGGGGCAGTATATAATGATCAAAGGGACACTCCACCAAGAAGAAATAACTCACATCAAGGGACAGATCATCCAGATAGAAAATCAACAAGGAAACAGTAGAATTAAATGAAAAGCTAGACCAGTTGGATTTAATAGACATATACGGAACACTCCAACCAAAAACAGCAGAAGGCACATTCTTCTCCAGTGCACACGGAGCATTCTCAAGGGCAGACCATTGGGAAACAGGGCAGCCTAAATAAATTTGAGAAGATTGAAATAATAACAAGCATTGTTTCTGATCACAGTGCTGTGAAGCTAGAAATTAATTACAAGAAAAAAGCTGAGAAAGGGACAAAGATGTGGGGACTACAACATGCTATTAAACAACCAATGGATCACTGAAGAAATTAAGGGAGAAATGAAAAATTATCTGGAGACAAATGAAAAGGAAGACATACCATACCAACTCATATGGGATGCAGCAAAAGCATTACTAAGAGGGAAATTCACTGCAATACTGGCTCACCTTAACAACCAAGAAAAGTCCCAAATGAGCAATCTGAAGTTACACCTAACTGAATTAGAAAAAGAAGAACAAACAAAGCCCAAAGTCAGCAGAAGGAGAGAAATAATAAAAATCTGGGCAGAAATAAATGCAACTGAAACAAAAAAAGGCAGTAGAAAGGATCAATGAAACAAAGAGCTGGTTCTTTGAGAAGTAAACAAAATTGACAAACCCCTAGCCAGACTTACAAAGAAAAAAAGAGAGAAAGCTCAGATAAATGAAATTACAAATGAAAGAGGAGAAATAACACAACAGACTCCACAGAAATACACAGGACTATAAGAGAATACTATGAAAAGCTATATGCTAACAAAATGGACAATCTAGAGGAAAGAGATAAATTCTTAGACTCTTAACAACCTCTCAAAGCTGAATCAAGAAGAAATAGAGAATCTGAGTAGACCAATCACAGGTAAAGAGATTGAAACAGTAATCAAAAGCATCCCCCCCCCCCCCCCCCCAGAACAAAAAGCCCAGGACCAGATGGCTTCCCTGAAGAATTCCACCAAACTTTTGGAGAGGATTTAATACCTACCCTTCTCAAGCTATTCCAAAACATTAGGGAAGATGGAACGCTTCCTAACACATTCTACGAGGCCAGCATCACTCTGATACCAAAGCCTGACAAGGACAGCACAAAAAAGGAGAACTACAGGCCAATATCACTGACTAACATAGATGCAAAAATCCTGAAGAAAATTTTGGCAACCCGACTACAGCAACTCATCAAAAAGATCATACATCGTGATCAAGTGGGATTCATACCAGGGACACAGGGATGGTTCAACATCCGCACATCAATCTACGTTATAGACCACATGAACAAAATGAGGAATAAAAACCACATGATCATCTCAGAAGACACAGAGAAAGCATTTGACCAGATCCAACAGCCATTTATGATAAAAACTCCTGACAAAATGGTGATAGAAGGAAATTACCTCAACATAATAAAGGCCATATATGACACACCCACAGCCAACATCATACTCAATGGGGAAAAACTGAACGCCAGCCCTCTGAGAACAGGAACAAGACAAGGATGCCCACTCTCACCCCCCTTTTATTTTTTCTGCTCTTTTCTCTCTCCAAATCCCCCCAGTATATAGTTGTATATTTTAGTTGTCGGTCCTTCTAGTTGTGGCATCTCACCACTCTTATTCAACATAGTACTGGAGGTTTTGGCCAGAACAATAGGTGAGAGAAAGGAATAAAAGGAATCCAAATAGGGAGTGAAGTGCTGAAACTCTCACTGTTTGCAGACAACATGATCTTATGTATAGAAACCCCTAAAGAATCCATCAGAAAACTATTAGAAATAATTAACAACTACAGTAAAGTTGCAGGGTACAAAATCAACTTACAAAAATCAGTTGCATTCTGTACTCTAATAACGAACTTACAGAAAGAGAACTCAAGAATACAATTCATTTACAATTGCAGCAAAAAGGATAAAGTCTCTAGGAGTAAACCTAACCAAGGAAGTGAAGAACTTATACAATGAAAACTGTGAGACGTTATTGAAAGAAATAGATGATGACATAACAAGACAGCAAAAGATTCCATGCACATGGATTGGAAGAATAAACATAGTTAAAATGTCCATATTACCCAAAGCAATCTACAGATTCAATGCAATCCCAATCAGAATCCCAATGACATTCTTCAGGGAAACAGAACAAAGAATCCTAAAATTCATATGGGGCAACCAAAGACCCCGAATTGCTAAAGCAATCCTGAGAAAAAGTGAACGAAGCTGGAGGCATCACAATCCCTGACTTCCAAATGTACTACAAAGCCATAGTAATCAAAACAGCATGGTACTGGTACAAAAACAGGCACCCAGATCAGTGGAACAGAACTGAAAGTCCAGAAATAAAACCACACATCTACGGACAGTTAATCTTTAACAAAGGTGCCAAGAACATACAATGGAAAAGAGATAGTCTCTTCAATAAATAGTGTCGGGAAATCTGGACAGCCACATGGAAAAGAATGAAAGTAGACCATTATCTCACACCATACACAAAAATAAACTCAAGATGGATCAAAGACCTGAAATAAGTCCTGAAACCATAAAACTCCTGGAAGAAAACATAGGTAGTACACTCTTTGATATTGAACTTAAAAGATCTTTTTGAATCCCATGTCTTCTCACACAAGGGAAACTAAAAAAAAAATAAGCAAGTGGGACTTCATCAAAGAGCTTCTGCAAGGCAAAAGAAACTAGGATCAAAACAGAAAGACACCAACTGGGAGAAAATATTTGCAAATCATATATCCGACAAGGGGTTAAACTCCATAATATAAGGAACTCACATAACTGAACAACAAAAAAACAAACAGCCTGATCAAAACATGGATAGAGGATATGAACAGACATTTTTCCAAAGAAGACATACAGATGGCCAATAAACACATGAAAAGATGTTCAACATCACTAACCATCAGGGAAATGCAGATGAAAACTACACTAAGATACCACTATACCCCTGTTAAAATGAGTTTAATCACTAAGACTAAAAATAGCAAATGTTGGAGAGGGTATGGAGAAAAGGGAACCCTCATACACTGCTGGTGGGAGTGCAAACTGGTGCAGCCAGTACGGAAAACAGATGGGGGTTCCTCCAAAAACTAAAAAGAGAACTACCATATGACTCAGCCATCCCACTCCTGGGTATCTACCCAAACCACTTGAAATCAACAATCCAAAGTAACATATGCATCCCTATGTTCATCGCAGCACTATCACAATAGCCAAGACATGGAACAATCCAAGTGCCCATTGACCGATGATTGGATAAAGAAGGTGTGGTACATATATACAATGGAATACTGCTGAGCCATAAAAAAAAGACAAAATCATCCCATTTGCAACAACATGGCTGGACCTGGAGGCTACTATGCTAAGCGGAATAAGACAGACTGAGAAAGACAAACAGCATATGACTTCACTCCTATGTGGCCTATAAACAAGCACATGGACAAAGAACAGTTCCGTGGTTACCAGGGAAGGGGTGGGGGAGGGCACGGGGCGAAAGGGAGCACTGACGTGGTGACAGAGCAGAAATAACGTACAACTGACATTTCACAATGATGTAAACTATTATGAACTCAATAAAAAATAAAATCCACAGAGTTAAAGACCTCTTCCTTAACACCCGCTCCGGCGTTCTTGAGAGATTTCCAGAAAAAAGACCAATTCAAATGAAACTTTCAGAAAACTGCTCAGGGTCTGGATGGTAGGGCCTGGGGTTCCTGATTCATGCCTCACGCTGTTCTCTTGGGAAAACTGAGGTACGATCTTCTGTTACTTATATTCCTCCAGTCCTTTGCAATAGACACTTGAGAGTCATCCTGGAAATGTCCCTGACCACCCTCCCTCCCCCAGCAAAATAGCTCCTCAAGTTTTGCTAATATAATGGCCTTCATATTTTTATAATTATGTCCCTCTCTTTTACTGTCTTTCCTCTCCCCTTGGCTCAGGCCTAATACCTGAGGCAGTTTGCTGGGCCAGATATTCTCAACTTCAAATCTATCCTGTTACTCCCGAACTTATAATCCTTATTGCCCCCATTGTCCTCAGGATGAAGCCCAAACTCCTTCCCACGGTAGCAAAGATCCTCTATAGATGAATATGGCCCACCTCTCCAGCCTTGACTCTTTGCCCTGCACTTGGGTACCCAGAACAGCAAACTGTTGATCTCCCTGCCTTTGATTACACTGTCCCAGCTGCCTGGTAGGTCTTCACCTGTGATTGGGAGGGTCCACCTGACGTCCTCAGAGATTTAGCTTTGGACAAGTCTTCCAGAAAGCCTTCTAGGACCTCAACTCCCTCAGCACTGGGTCTAGTGGCCTCCTTAGCAGCTGTGTACTTATCGTTTTCCCTTTTAGGGGGGAAAAGGCCATATTAGGTTGACCTAGTAGAAAATTCAACTAATACAATTGGATTTGGAATGAAAAATACGTCTCCCTCCAATCCCTGCCCTCCAGTTTCTTTTCCAGTTTTTTCATGCACATGCAAGCGGAAATCTATTTTCATATTACGTTTGCAAAATTTTAAACAAGATGTTCTGTACCTTGTTTTTCCAATTAACACTGTATTTTTGAGATTATATTACTTCCACATAGATCTATCTCATTCTTCTGCAGAGCTGCTGTGATATTCTGTTGTATGCATACCTTAATTTGCTCAATTTGTTGATGGACGCTTCGGCTGTTTCTGATTTTTGCTATGAGAATCAATGCTGTAAAGTGAAACATCTTCACACAAATGGATTTGAGCGCAGGTGGGGAATATCTTTTCTTCAGATTCTTAGTGGTGGGATTGCTAGATCAAAGGCTAGGTGGATTTTAAATTTTGATATAACACTCTATAGTCATCTGATTTACTGTTTCCATCAGCAGCCCAACTCCGCTGTATTCAAATATTAGGCCGTTTACACCACTAGACTGCGTGTTTTTTCACCTTTATTATTAACATTTGTCTGGCAGAATTAGCCCTCAAATATTTGACTTAACGAATTCTATATCTGGTAGCGCCGAGTCCAGGCCTTGGCATAGAGCAATCTCATCATATGCCTATTACAATTCCTCAGTGGTTAGACTTGCAAACAGTTACTGAGGTGTATTAAATGCCAGGGTTCACCTGCCACCTCCTCCTGCGCGGCTGTTTTCCGTCCTCCTGGGGAGGGGGCGTGGCCAGCACCACGGCCCGCCCTATCTGTGCACTCGTTGGTCCAGCCCGACGCCCGTTACTGCCGAGGCCCGCCCAAACCACGCCCCCGCGGAGCGCGCCGGGCCGAGAGAAGGCGTAGCCATTGTCTGGCCGGACAAGCCAGACCGTGTGCTCTCGTGAGAACCGGGACGCGCTCGGAGACTCGCACGGCCCGCGGTCGCGCGCAGCCCCGCCCCCCCGGCACGCAGGCCCCGCGCGAGCTCGCGCACGCGCGCACCCGCCAGGGCCTCGGTCTGGCCCGCGAGGACTGGCGGGCGGAGAGCGGGCCGCTGAGGTGCGGGGGAGGAGCCCGAGCCGCCGCCGGCGCCGAGGAGCATGTCTGCAAGTCGGGCCAAGAAAGTGAAGATGGCCACCAAATCGTGCCCCGAGTGCGACCAACAGGTGGGCGTCGGGGCCGGGCGCGCGGGCCGGGGGCGGCCGTTGGCCGTGGAGAGCCCTCGCCGGGGCGCCGGGCCGGCCGGGCGGGCGGGGTCTCGGTGGCCGCGGGCGGGCCGGGCGGGCGGGGGCTCTGTCGTGCGGCCGCCGGGCGGGCCGGGCCGGGCTGGGTGTGCGGGCCGTGGCGGGGCCGCCTGGCCGGCTCCGGGCGCGGCGGGCCGTGCGGCCGCTTTGTTCCCGCGGGCGGCGGGCGGGGCGGCGGGGCTGAGTTTCAGCGAATCTGGAGATTTTCCCTCCTCACTGTATTTGTCACACTGTTGACGTAAGTCACCGCGCAGCGCGTCTTCACGTGGTGGTGAGCGAGACTTCGAGGGACGCTGCCCGCCGCCGCGCCTACAGAGCTGGCGTTTCTGCTTCTAGATCTTTTGGAAAGTGTCTGGTTCCATGGCTTTTCGAGGACTGCCTTCTGCGCAGATGTAGTGCCGCCGGTAGCCTGTCAGCTCGCGTCCTTGCTCCTCCGTCCAGCGCTCCCGGTCTTCCCGGGAGCGGCGCCGCTCCGAGGCCCCCGGCCCCGCCCCCGCCCCGCCCCCGCCCCCGCGCCCTTCTCGCCCCCGCTTCCGCCCCGCCCCTGGCCCGCCTCCGTCCCGCCTCCAGCGCCCAGCCTGCGGGCGCGCTTCTCTGCAAGATGAGCGCGTCTCCTCTCCCCGGCCGCCGCCTTTTTGATCAGTAGTACCTTGAAATGCCTGGAGCCTTGTTTAATAAGCTGATTTTCGTGCATTCTTTAAGAGACAAGCTTGTAGGTTGACAAGTCTTGTAATAGAAGATGTTATATGTTTTAATCAAGATTTTTTTTATGAGCCGTGATAGAAATGCTGAGCAGAGGAAGATTGTGCAAGGAGAATTAGTTTATTGATCTCATGAATTTATTTAGTATAAAGTATAAAAACGATTTAGTCATAAATTCCAAAGTAAAGAGTTAATCTTCCATTGTTACCATTAAACAATTTTTAAAATTCTGAGAAAATTGCACTTTGCGATTTAAGTCTCTTTGCAGAAGATTATTTCAATATTTAAATCATTTCCGTTTGTTCCAATTAATTGTGCAGAAGTATAAGGTTTACATGGTATGCATTATACATTCCAGTTTCTATAGGGCACAAGTTAATGCAAATCCTGACCTTGTTTAACTTGGCATAAAGTAACCTTTTGGGAAAAATAACCTGTTTTTGATATCCTGGTTAAAGAAAGAGGAAAGGGTAATAAGCGTGTAGGAGTCCTTGTAACCGTTCAAGAGAATGTGATCACGTTTTATTTGGAAAGATCACATTAATTTTGTTATACATACACAACGCCTTCCTCCAGCATCCAAAACAAAACACCATAGATTGGGTGGCTCAAACCACAATAATTTATTTTCTCACAGTTCTGGAGGGTGAAAGTCCAAGATGCTGGCAGAGAGAGCTTTTTGCTGTCTCTTGATGAGGTACTAATCCCATCATGAGGGCCTCACCCTCATGACCTTACCTACGCCTAATTATCTCATCTCCAAATACCATCACCTTGTCGTTTAGGGCTTCAACGTAGGAATTTGGGGGCAGGGGACACACAATTCAGTCCATAGCAAGCTATTATGTAATTTAAAATGTTGGTTTGTTTTGTACTTTGTTCTATGTAGGTGGGGACTAATTAAAAGTTTTGGTGATTTTTAAAAGCGATTTATCTTTTGCTAAAAGTAAGTGAAGTGAATTGAGGAAAATAATAGGTTAATTTTAGCTTTCTAGTTATTTGAAGGTACAAGCTTCCTATATTTATAATCGAGGAAAAAATGTTAATCCAGAAAGCCATTTTTTAAACAACATTGAGATACTGCTGTTATTGTAAGTTGCGTGATGAATATTAAATTAGAATTTAGGTATTGTTTATAAACACTAATGTAAAATCTTTAAAGTTTGGGAAGATAGCCCTAGTTGAATAGATTTACATATGTTCTGTGTGTCTGTAAGTTTAAAGACAGGTAGAGATCAGCAAACCAGAAAGACCTAGATTTTCAGTTGCTTTATAACATCCCCTTTACATGCCTCTATTGAAAATATAGATCTGAAACATCTAAACCACAATACTTTTCATTTTCAAGGGGCTTCACATCCACTAACTCAAATTACTGAGCCATTTTGTGTGTAGTAGTATTCAAGATTCTTGTTAGTTTTCTGGTATCTTTTGTGTGTCTCTCTTTTTGTCTTCATTTTTTTTTAAATAGAGCAGCTTCTTTTTTCATTTATAGGAAATTTTATGTGACATATAGCAAATATGTCTAAACTGATTCTCTTAGCCGCAAAGGATATAAATGAGTTCTCCATAATGTGGTTATGTTTTTGAGCTTTTATAAATCAGTGAAACAATATAGGACAGGATTTTGTTTCTTGCAGGTTTTTTTCCCCGTTTTACTGGTAAAACATACAAACAACCTAAATACACTTTTCAAGGAATAAATTGATGCACAATAAGCCACCAATAAAGAAAACTTTGGATGTTTTTTTCCATTTTAAAATCGTGAAAGTACAAGTAAATAGGGAGAATATCAGCTTGTGATAAATGCCTTGTAGCATGAGAAGTTTCATTCCTGTTATCTTTGGCATTACAACTGAAATTTGCAGGAAGTTTAAGGTGTGTGTTTAAAATTCAAGTTGTACTGTACAGAGATTAATATTACTGAATTTGTCCACCCTATGTAATAATTCTTTTTATAGGATCTGGGTTGTGGCGGTGGTTGGTTGTTTTTTTGAGGGGTTGTGGTGGGAGGAAGGAACTTTCCATTTTAAAAAAGACATTATGGTGAATTAGCTCAGGCATGTGAATATTTCTTAAGCGTGAAACACTTTCATTAAGGGATGAAGATCAACCTTCACCTAAGTGAATCAGCGTTTGTGCATTTTTCATCTTAAAGCCCAAAGGACATTTCTCATCTAACTGCAGCACTCTGTGAATTCTGGATATGGGTTAATGTAATTTTCTTGAGAATGAGACAGAGACCTAAATTTAAATTTATTGAGTTTCAGTAGCTGGAAGAAATACTTGCTGAGTAGCAAAGGATCTGTTGAATAAGATCGTCATGTTTCTGTGTTTTTTGGCTAGCATTAATTTAAAACAATTTTCAGTATTGTGGATGTCCTTAATGATGTGTTTAAGTGTAAAGGAAATGAGTCAGTACCTTTGAGCTTGGTTTCTATGACGATGTGAAATTTTAAAAATGACAGGCATACCTATTTTGGACAGGTTTTACACTATTAAAAAATGTAATTATTATTTTTCTTTAATACAAACTAGAGATGCTTTGTTTAGTGTTTTATACAAAGAAAAAGAATTCTGCCAAAATTTTGATTTAGCTTAATTAGATCAAGTATTTATATTCTAGAATATGAGGCATTCTGTGCATACGTGGATAAAAAGCTTTATAATTGTTTATATTTAGTATTATAACTAAACTTTTACACAAGCAAAACAATAGGCAAATGGAATTTATCTTACAAAGGGAATTGCCATTTTCCGACTGTAATTATTCTGTGAATGCTTTTTGTTGAGATTAATTTCTGGGTTTTGCTGAACATGTCTTGATACCAAGGATTATTAAGGTTAATATTAATGAAACAATAATGGAGGGAAATCTAAAAATTTTTTTCAATGATTTTCCATAACATTTGGCTTAAAAAAAAGTATAGACTTGAAATAGAGAAAGGAGCCACTTGTTAAGTATTTTACAGATTTAGAAACAGAAACCTTAAGAGCTTAAGTGTTTTATCTAATGTCTTTCCTGGAGCCAAGACCCTAAGATCCTAGATCCTATCTCAATCCTACTTTCTCCTCCATTCTCTTTTGTTTGTACTGTACTTTTGCCCCTCAAACTGGTTGTTGTAAACTATTCTTTGTCTTTTTTTTGTCATCTTACCCTCTCATGTTAGAACATGAGTCATTTTCAGTTCTTTCCCCTTTTGAAATGTCTGACAGATCTACCTTTTCTCCATTTCCATTCTCACTATTCTGGCTGGGCCCTTACAATCTTATGCTGGGATTACTTTAATGACTTCTCAACCATGCTCCCTTTTCTAATTTGCTTATGTAAACTACTATTAAACTAATAGTTTAGGAAATGCTACCTTTTTTCCCATGTGTTTTTTTCTGGCTCTGACCTTATTATGGTTTCCTGTTGGTTACTCGCATCAGCACATGTATCATGCATTTACTATTTTCATGATATCATAAAGAATTAGGAGAATGTGAAGATGCGTAGGACACAATACCCACCTCAGATAATTTGTTGTAAGGAGGTGGGGTTTAAATAAATCTGTGGTTCCTACTTAAGTACTTTATCATTCAGTTCAGGAGACTACATAAACACTGAGAAGTTTAATAGAAAATAGAAATAGAAGTTTTATAGAAAAATAGTAATAATATATTTTGGGTTTTTTCCCTACAGGTTCCTGTTGCGTGTAAATCGTGTCCTTGTGGTTACATATTTATTAGCAGAAAACTTTTAAATGCAAAACACCCAGAGAAATCACCACCTTCTACAGGTAAATGTGAGAGTTTACCACATTTTTAGCTTTTTTATGTAGAAATTTAAAATTAATTTTCATGAATTTACTATTTACATTTTTGTTGAAGTTAAAAATTAAAATCTATTGAAGTATGCCTTTGCTTTTTATTATCTATTGGAAATTAGCTGGTGACATTAGTTTGCTGTTCATTCCATTTAAATGTTACCTCCCTTATAATGCTGATAAAGCTTGTAACAAATTTTCTGTTTTTTAGTTTGGAGGATGGAGAGCCCTTGGAGAATTTTAAGCAAGGGAGTGACCTGGTCTGATTTTTTAAAAATTTTTAAATAGTTTAATTAAGGTATAATTGACTTTCAATAAGTTGCACATATTTAAAGTATACAGTTTGTTTTTGTCATATGTTTATACCAGTCAAACAATCACCACAATCAAGATAATGAACATGTTCATAATTTCGAAAAGTATTCTAGTTCCCCTTTGTAATCTCTCCTTCTTGCTACCCCCACACCTAGATAACCACTGATTGATCTGCATTCTGTCACTATTCCAGAACTTTATAAATGGAATCATACAGTATATACTCATTTTTTTGCCTGGCTTCTTTCACTGAGCATAATTTAAGATTCAGCCATCCTGTTGTGTATATCAATAAGAATTCATTCATTTTTATTGCTGAGTAGTATTCTTTGTATGGATATGCCACGATTTGTTTATCTGTTCACTGGTTGGTGGACATTTGGGTTTTTTCCTCTCATAGTGCTGGTAAAATTTGTAATAACTTTTAAGTTTTTTTAAAATTAGTGACTGGGAAAGTATAACTTGATTTTGGTGTGAATATAAGTTTTAGACATAGTGGTTATTTTTTATAATTCTCTGATTTAGAATATCTAAAAAGTAATTTTGTTTGAATTTTACTTTCCCATTAATGTACGCAAATAGGATTTATTCAATGGATATATTTATTAAAAGATGAAATTATGTTACTTTATTCTTTGATAAAATCAGAACTTCATGCACTAATGATCCCCAGATAGGAGTAGATTGATTACAGATATCCATTGAGCACCTTCTATGTGCTGGGCTCTGTTCTAAGCCGTAGGTGTAAAGTAATGAATGCATCTACTTTGTAGGCAGGTTCACGGCTGTTATGGAGCTTGCATTGTTATGGGCATTTGCTTGTGAACAAGTAAATAGGCGGAATATCAGCTTATGATAAATGCCTTGTAGGAAATTAAAATTGAGTGCTGGTCTAGTGTGTGACTAGAAGGCTACTTTTGATTGAGTGGTTGGAGAAGTCCTCTTTGAGAGGTGACATTTAACTTGAAACTGAATAGGAACAAGGGCTAGCCATGGTAACAGCAGGGAGAATCATAGCAGTCTTGATAGATGAAATAGCAAATGCAAAAATTCTGAGGCAGAAAAAGTGTGGTATGGTTTAGAAACAAAAAGGTCAGTGTGGTTGCAGTGTAGACAGTAAGAGCAGGAGAGTGTAGGAGATGAGGCCAGAGGGATAGGCAGGGGCCAGATTATGCAGGGCTTTGTAAACCAGAGTAAAAAATTTAGATTTTGTTCTTAAAATGTGAGGAGAAACTATTCCTAGGATGTGGAATGGGGCAAGGGGAAGGTGGCATGCTCTGATTTGCCTTTTAGAAAGCTCATTCTGGCTGCTGTCTAGATAATAGTTTGGGCGTACAAGATGGAAGTGGGCTGTTACAATATGTTAACTGAGTGAGGATGCCCAGGGTGGTTATAAACGCAGATAATGCAAGAATTATTTATATTTATGTCTGTGAGAGGTCTCTTTATCCTCGGTTATATAGAGGTGGCAGGAAAGTTGTTTAATTCTATTTTTTCCTCTGTCTGAGTTAGCTCCCTTTCATCATGAGAATGGACTTAATTTATTGGCTCTTAAAGGCTGTTGTCTGGATTGGTTATGTAAGAGTCATCCAGAAAGCTTGTTTAAAATGGATTCCTGGGTTGTTTCTTTTTAAGATTGGCACCTGAGCTAACAACTGTTGCCAATCTTTTTTTTTTTTTTTTCTGCTTTTTCTCCCCAAATCCCCCCAATACATAGTTGCATATTTTAGTTGTGGATCCTTCTAGTTGTGACGTGTGGGATGCTGCCTCAGCATGGCCTGATGAGCGCTGCCATGTCTGCGCCCAGGATTCGAACCAGTGAAATCCTGGGCGGCCAAAGCGGAGTGCGAGAACTTAACTACTCAGCCACAGGGCCAGCTCCCATGGATTCCTGGGTCTTATTCCCTAAGAGTTTGATTCAGGTATGGGAACCCTGGAATGATTCATTCATTAGATATGCTGGAGTGGCATATCAGCTCAGTTCTGAGTCTTCGAAATGAGTAAGATATGGTCCATGCCCCTAGTGGGACAAGTGTGTGTCTTTTTTTTTATTCAACAGATATTTTCGAGCCCCGTCTATATACCAATGATTCAGGTGAGAAATGAGGTAAGGAAGAAATCCAGCAAGGACAGAGAGAAGGGACAGATGCTACCAGTGTTAAGGAGTCAGAATCATTTCAACCAGAGGGAAGAATTTAGAATGATTCCCAGATTTCTGACTTGGATTACTCATTAGAAAGGGAATATAAAAGAGAAGATAAGTTTTGAGAGACAGATAAAGAATTTAGTTTTGGATGTAGTTGTGAAATATCATTCGTGTGTGGTTTTTTTCTTCCCAGTTGGACATATAGCCTGAAGCTCAGGGAATAGCCTCAGCTAAATAAATCCCTTTTGAGCCATCAGGGAATAGAGATGGTAGGTGACATCGTGGAAATGGATGGGTTTGTGCTACGGAGTCTGTAGGGTACGAAGAGGAAGAGTTCAGTGACTGAAGTCTGGCAAACTTCAATCTTAAAGGGGGGAAGTGGGTAGGGACGTTAGGTCAACTGAGAAGAAATGTCACCTGTAGAACAGCCAACAGAGTGATGTTACATAAGTCATGGTGATGAGTGAGAAGCAATTCATTATTATTTTACATTTAGGTTCCTAAGATTCTGTTGTTTAGTAAGTGTCTTTGTGACCTTGAAGTGAAGACGAAACTTTGAAGCCTAGAAATCCCAGGGAGAATGAAGAGTAACCAGCAAAAAAATTCCAGAAAGAATAGTTAGAAAGGATGGAGCAACATCAGAGACAGACTGTGCCATAGAAACCAAAGGAGGAAGGGTTTTTAAGGAGAAGGCTTAAGAGTATTCAAAGCCTGGAAAACAGTTTGATATTTCAGATGTGGGGTCAGAAGACCTGGCTTCAGATTTGGATGCCAGTTTTGTCACTGGCTAACAAGTTAATTAACCTCCACAAGCAGCTGCTGTTTGTGTATAAGATAGATTTATAGTACCAATCTTAGAGGAGTGAAATATAAAGGAAGTACGTATGAAAATGTCTACTGTAAACAAAGCTTGGTATGTTATAGGTGTTCAGTAAATATTCATTTTTACAGTTAAATTTCCTGAAAGTAAGATTTACCTTGGATAGTCCATAGTAAGGGAATTGAGAAGAGTATAGTTTTTAAAATCTCTACAGTTTATGAAGTTCTTTATGAATGTTGTCAGTGGGATCTAGAACATTTCAGTTTAAATAAGCAGAGAATTTATAGAAGTAAAATGAAAATGGATTCTATGTATCTGGAAAGATAGTCAGCTTTGCTAATAATCAGGGAAATGTAGTTGAAATAAAGGACCATTCTTTTTGCTCACCTTCTGACAAAAATGTAAAGGATTTCTAAGTGCTTTTATGAGTATGGCAAAATGAATAGTCTTATACTAGTGGTGAGAGTATAAATTGGCACAGTCTTTTTGGAGAACAATCTGACAGCAGTTGTTAAAAGTTTTAAATGCACGTAACCTAGAATCTAGACCTCTTTATCAGTAGGTCTGTAGCCTAGAGATATAATTGTTTATGATACACAATAAAATATTTACTAGGATTTTCAGGCAACACTGTTTATAGTAGCAAAAAGTTAAGCCAAATGTCATAAGTAGGGGAATGGTTAGTTAAGTAGGGTACATTTTTTAGAGAACAACGGTATGTGCTGATTAGAAAGAATGATGCAGATTTTTAGGTACTGATTTGGAAGAAATCTTTAAAACTATTTTAGAAAAAAGTGCAAAACAATACTTGTATGAACTTGTTTTTTTTTTTTTTAAGATTTTATTTTTTTGCTTTTTCTCCCCAAAGTCCCCTAGTACATAGTTGTGTATTCTTCGTTGTGGGTCCTTCTAGTTGTGGCATGTGAGATGCTGCCTCAGCGTGGTTTGATGAGCAGTGCCGTGTCTGCGCCCAGGATTCGAACCAACGAAACACTGGGCCGCCTGCAGCGGAGCGCGTGAACTTAACCACTCGGCCACGGGGCCAGCCCCTGAACTTGTTTTTTACAAAATTTTTTTTCTTGTGATAAGTGCTTTTAAGATTTACTCTTAGCAACTTTCAAATATGCAGTACAGTATTATTAACTATAGTCACCATGCTGTACATTACATCCCTGTGACTTATTTATTTTATAACTGGAAGTACCTTTTGGACCCCTCTTCACCATTTCACCCACCTCCCCAACCTGCATCTCTGGCAACTACCAGTCTATTCTCTGTAACTATGAGCTTGGTGTTTTGTTCTTTTTTTTAATTCCACATGTAAGTGAGATCATATGGTGTTTGTCTTTCTCTGGCTGACTTATTTCACTTAGTATAATGCCCTCAAGGTCCATCCATGTTGTTGCAAGTGGCAAGATTTCATTCATTTTTATGGCTGAAGAATATTCCATTGTATATACACACACCACATTTTGCTTGTCCATTCATCTGTTGATGGACACTTAGATTGTTTCCACATCTTGGCCATTGTAAATAATGCTGCAGTAAACAGGGGAGTGCATATATCTTTTTGACTTAGTGTTTTTGTTTTCTTCAGATAAATACCCAGAAGTGGAATTGCTGGATCATTTGGTAGTTCTATTTTTTGTTTGTTTCTAAAACCCTACAAAATGATTCCTACATGTAGTTATT